TGTGGGGGGGGGGGAGCACCAGCTGCGCCCCCCCCCAGCAGCCCAGGGAGACGCTGAGCAAAGCGGCGGAGGACCCGGGGCCGGACCCGCAGCGCTTCAGATCAGCGCCAGGGGTCCGGCCTAGGTCCTCCACTGCTTTGCTCCCCGTCTCCCTGGTCTGCTGGCTCCCCCAGCAGACCAGGGTGACCGGGAGCAGCTTTTCTCGCCCCGGAGGAGGCGGGCGGTGGGACCAGGCGTCCCGCCGCTCCAGTCCTCCGGGGCGAGAAAATCCCTGTTCGTAACTGCGGATCCGACATAAGTCGGATCCGCGTAACTCGGGGACTGCCTGTATTTCCAAATCCACTTACGAAAGCATTCTACTGACTAGAAGAAGTCCTTGATTAATTGATTCTTCAGGTAAGTGCACTTAGCTCTCTAGTCCATCCCTTATTCTGGTGGGTTTAGAGGGACATGAGACAGATGTGTCTTTTCTGAAGTTTACAATTGTTCAGCTGCTTATAGGATCGAGGAGAAACATGATGTTGATAAGGAGTTAGTCCCATAATGTGGGGATTGTGAATGGGTACTAATGTTCAGCAGTCTGCTGTTTCTGCAGGATGAAAATTTTCCAGTGCTGGATAGTTTCTGTTTTGCCTGTTGGCATCCTGCAAATTCACTGATTCTTTCCCTTCCCCGCCCCCGTCAGACAACTAGGATAACTTTGTGTTTAAATGCTGCACTGAGTACTTTATTATTGCTTTTAAGTAATACCTTATAACTCTGTAGGTAGATAACGTTCTTGGTTCTTCTATGAGACTTTCCGGTGATGGCGAGGAACCCTTTCTCTCTGTCTGTGACAAGGACTGCATCCCTGAAATTGCCCAGTAAGCCAGGCCTGAGCAACTCTAACAGTGAGCAGGACGAATGTGGTCCAGGGGTGGCAGGTTTGTAAGAATTTTGGTGGTGCCCAGAACCTGTACCCCTCCCCACTTAGGCAGGTAATGGGCAAGAGGGGGAGGAGAGCTTAATGTTCTGAGGGGGAGTTTGGGAAGGGGAAGGGTGTTTAGCTAATCCAGCTCCCTGAACCTCTTTCAGATCACATTTAACAAAACTTGTACTGGAGTAAGCAAGCAATTTCATGAGATCAGGGATCAAAATAAATACTCCAAGCTGCCACTTTTTTTTTTTTAAAGGGAACACTGAGCTTTCTACTTCCATATCCCCTAGGTATCAAAATGCCCTGTCCTCACAATCTATTTTTTGAGGGAAACTGTATGAATTACCTGTAAAAGTTATTCTGTGATAGTTGTATACACTCTGACTCTTACATGCTAATATTCTCTTAGTTAGAATTATTTTAAGTGGGATTTGTTAGTATTCTTAAAGTTTAGAAGTCTAAAATTAACTTCTCTATTCTACAGAACTTTTTACTGGCTATTTGTTTATCTGTTCAGATGAAATATATTTTGGGTACTTTATTTTGCAGCTGCTGAAGAAAGAAGCACAGATTTGATCATGACTGACAGCAGTATGCTAGTGTCTGACATAGGAAGTAGTCTCTTGGGAGATTCTTCTGTTCTTGATTCAAAAATTACTGAAACTTCCAAGGAGAATGTATTTATTGGATTGGCTACACACATGGAAGGTAACAGGAAAAGTATTTTTCAATAGTGTCACACTTGTTTGTTTTGAATATTGTTTCTTGGAAGATGAATATTTTTTTTATGGGAGTGCCAATAGCTTGAAACATTTTGTATAGACATAAAGCTGGTACGAACCAACAGTAGTATTTCTGAGTTGTTCAAAGCCATGTTAAAAGGGGCAGAACTCTTCAGGTGAAAACAGTTCATGCTTGCTCATCACACACAGTGCCAACCAAGAGCTGTAGATGCTTTTACTAAGAATAAGCATTGAAGACAGTTGGTTGATCGTAGGCCTGAGAAGAACCATTAGATGAGTGGCTTTTGGTCTCTACTGATGTCTGTAGATTTGAATTGGTAACTCCCAAGAGAGACTTGAGAAATTTTAAAGCCTACTATATTTCCCACAAAATAATAAGGTTTTTCTTTGTATTTTGTTTATTCTCTTGCTATTTTCAGAATAGATGAATCGACTAGGGATGTGAATGGTTAACCAGTAAACCCAAGAGAGGTTTCCGAGTGGTAGCCGAGTTAGTCTGTAACAGGAAAAACTTAAAAAACAAAAACAAAAAAAATAAATAATCTGGTAGCATTTTAAAGGCTAACAAAACATATAGATGGTATCATGAGCTTTTGTGGGCACAGCCCACTTCTTCAGATGACTGGAGTGTTCGAAGACTAGAACCAAGAATAAATAAGTGAAGGGGGGGCGTGGGAGTGGCGGGAATGGGGGGGAAGAGGACATTAGATAAGTTTCTAAGGGCTCATCTAGACTCCATCCCTCTTTCGAAAAGCGGGATGTAAATTAGGCAGATCGAAAGGGTAAAGGAAGCACAGGTTTAAATATCCTGTGCTTTATTTGCGTATTCATGTCCGATCACTGTTTTGAAAAAGGGCATTTCTAAAGTGAAACTGCAGTCTAGATGTGGTGCTTTCAGAAAAAAACAACAACCCCTTTTTGGAAAGATTCTGAACTAATTTTTTTTCAGGAATATGGGATCTTTCTAAAGGCTTTTTTGTTTTTGTTTTTTAAAGCACCTCCTCTAGACTGTGGTTTCAATTTTAAAATGCCCTTTTTCGAAACAGCGATTGGACATGAATATGCAAATGAAATGTGGGATATTTAAATCTGTGCTTCCTTTGCACTTTCAATCTGCCTAATTTGCATCCCACTTTTTGAAAGAGGGATGTAGTCTAGACATAGCCAAAGGGATAGCCGAACCAGTTTGTAACAGGAAAAATGTAAACAACAAATAGTCTATTAGCACCTAAAAGATTAAATAGTTAAAAGAAGCTGATTTAAAAACCATTTAGTTTTCACTAGGAAAGGAAGAGAACTAACACTAAGTGCTGTTACAATTCTTATCAGCTCTTTTAACTATTGAATGAGTTATATGGGAAGCCTAGAATGATAATTACTGAATGGGAATGACAGCAAGCAAAAGGAGTCCAGAGAAGAGCAATGAAATGAGAGAACATATCCAATAGAAGAACTGGTTATAAATATTACTTTTTTTTTTTTTTTCCTCCTCCCGGAACAGAGGAGGTACCTCAAATTGAAACCAGAGTGGTTTTAGTTCAGGAAGCTGGGAAATGTGAGGAACTCTTGAAAGCCTTGGAGGTATGTAGCTTTAACATAAAGTAGTCATAATGACATGTTTTTGATAAACTTCTTGTTAGTAATTTAATCTCACACCAAAGTTCTCCTCTTCCACAGACAATTAAGATAATGGAAGTCCCAGTTATAAAGATAAAGGAAACTAGCCCTGGTAAATCGGGAGAAAAACTAATAAAAAGTATAATTCATATGGTATGTCAGGCATGTGTCTATAATTGCATGCAGCATGTTTGCACTTCACTGGGACAGGAGTGCACCAACATTTAACTTTCATGATTTCTGATATTTGTGTGTGATAAAGGCATAATAGATAATGTTTTCTGTGGTATAGTATGAAGCTAGTTGAGTAGGAGCGTATGTCAAATTTGAAACTCTGCAATTTGCTTAAATATCTGTTCTTAATCCCTGAACTAGTATATTTAGTGGACTTAATGTATTCCGTGCTTGGATATGAACTCTCAAATGATATGTCACGTCTGTTTAGACTTTTGTATGTTTCTGCTATGAACTAGCTTCATAATCCATTAAATGGCTTTCCTGGTTCAACAGTAAAATACATGTAATTTAAGATTGGTGCATGAACAATTATTTAAGGATTAAGTTGTTTCTTAACATGACGGATTCTAGAAAATGGAGTTTGGACCGAATACCTCCAGATTCAGAGCAGCCAATAGGTAAATTTTCAGAAATATTATGTTTAACTTCATGCAATAGGAAACACTACTATATGGAATCTCTTGGTCTGCAAACTATAAATTGTTGAAACTGAATCTGTTTTTAGTGGCAGAGTTCCAAACTCCATAAACTAAATTTAGATGCCCTGAAGGAAAAGATGTGATTGTCTATTGTACAAGAATAATTTATATCCAGCTGAATTAATGCATCAAAATATTTGTGGTGTCCCCCACCCCCCACCCCCCAAAAAAGATTGAGGAAATACTTTACCTCTCTAATGTAATATTAGAACAAATTATACTGGGTTTTAAGGAGTTCATCAGAATTAGGAATCATTTTAAAGAAAGCTAGATCATCACTAGTTCCATGCTAGAAATACAAAAATCAGCGCTGTATATCTTTAAACAGAATGTTATCCTTTTTGGAACACTGTAAAGCTGTCTTTGAAGTTTTAAAGAAATTTAGTATCAAGGTAAAAATCAAGATTTTTGACATTTGTTTACAATGTGTGTTGCATGAATGACACTTACTTTAATGTTGTGTTTGAAAAAATTAAGGAAATAAAAGTGCCCTATATAAAGATGGAATCCATAGAAGAGTTTGGTGATTCTGAGTCTCCAGAATTTGAGACAGTCTTCATTGTAGCAGACTTTCAAAATTCTCTTTTGGACAACTTGTACAAGTTTGACGGACGTGTTCTTGGACCTCCAATAGTACTTCATTGTGCTCAGAAAGGAGAGGTAAGTATTCAGGTGTCAGCGAAAGACTATTCTTTTACTTTATTTTTAGATGGACTCTCACGTGTCAATACTACTAATGTGAGCGATTGAATATTTTCTTCCTATGGTAAAAGTTTCTTTTAAATTGCAATACAGCTCTGCTTATCGTTTATGTAAATGAAGGCCTTGTATTGTGATGGCACAGCTATTCTGAATTTAAATTTCTTCTGAACTGGAGGAATTGTTGAAAGCTGTATCAGTCTTTCTCAGTGCAGAATTCTGGCCATTCACATGTAATGTTTCACTAGACTTACATGGCTTTTTTAAAATTAAAAAATAGAAAGAACTAATGGCCCTAATTAACGTGACTTGGGGTTGTTTGTTGCTCAGCACTTCTGAAAAGTAGGCTCTAAATCAGGACTACTCAACTTTGGAAGCCCTGGGGGCCACAATGATATTCTCAGCACATGCCGAGGGCCGCAACTTAAGTGTGGTTGCATATATATGTAACTATCTTCTTCCTCACTGAGGGGCATGAATACAAAAATTAAGACAAGACTACACAACACACAGGCCCCATTTACGTCAGTTCTGCTGATACTAATAAAATACAGTATTCACCCGATTTCCACCTGTATGTCAGCACTTCTAATGAGCAATGACAGTCCAGGAATTTAACAACTAGAACACATATTAACAGAAGACCGTTATATGGACTACTTTTTTGTTTTAGCTCCTGCGGGCCACAGACAAACAGGCCACGGGCCGCTTGTAGAGTAGCTCTGGTCTAAGTGGAGAGTGAGTGGCTTGGCAGTTGTAAGCCAGTGTGCAAAAGTAGCTCAAGCCCTTCAGTTAAGTTAACAAATCACTCTTCTTTTCCCAACCCATGGGATATCTTTCCAAAGAAAAGCTGGGAAAAGCATTAGACTTGGAGTACACATAGACACTTTACTGGCATTACTAGTTTGGTTAGTAGCGTGGGGTTCTTAATCTATGTAGTTACCCCAGGAAAAGTCCTGAAGTAAATGCAGTTGAATGGGTATAAAGGTGCCTTATACTATATAGTATATTCCCCTTCATGTACAAGAATAAGTATTCTAGTACAGTGAAACCTTTGTTATCTGGCACTCTGTTAACCAGAAAACTTTGCCAGCATTGTCCCTAGCCACAATACCGTCACATCTTCAGGTGCACGGGCCTGGCTTGGTTTACCATGATTGGCTTAACAATTTTTTACTAATCCTCTTTCACTCAAAATAGAAATGTGAGACCAACTGCTTCACACTACAGAACTACCAATATTAAGAACTTGAGTTTTATTATTATTGTCCATTGGTTTTTCCTAGGTTGATGGGACCCTCAGATAACCAGAATGCCCTAATCCCTGAGCGTGCCTAATAACACAGGTTTTACCGTGATGGGGTTTCTCAAACTCCATTGTACTGTGGCCCCCTTTTTGACAAGAAAAATACTACACCACCATAAGACAGTTCTGGTGACCCTTTTAAAATGAAGTTGTGACCCATTTTGGGGTCCTGGTCTACAGTTTGAGAACCTCTATAAACTAGTATAAGCACTTCTATGGCTGTATAAGTGCACCCACACTAGAGGGATTGTACTGCTTCAGCTATACCAGCATATTATTACCCATAGCACTTAGGATGGCTAAAGCAGTATAACTTTCTAGTGTAGACAAGACATTAATGTATAGTGTTTCTTCTTTGTTGCTTCCTCTTAACACTTTCAAGAGCCTTGGCAACAATATGAATTTATTCATTGTTTCCCCTCCCTCTTATATAGCTATTTTCTGGGCTTTCTCAGAAAGGGAAAGCCACTAGGAATTCAAGTCTTGAGATATCTAGTTAGTTCAATTCTTTAAAAAGCTATTGAAAGTACTGTAAGTGATGACTGTGATCAGTACCATTTGAACCACACAAGCATGGATATCCAATATAGATGGAAAGTATTTTATAATCCATGTTCAAATCCCCTTTAACTTGTTTGTTGAAAAAATAATAGTCAAAAGAGAATCTTTGTCAGATGTGAGAAGTTCACAAGTACTTCTCTGCACCTGGAGGTAGTTTAAGGAAATATACATACTAATTGCTAACACTTATTTGAAATTAATAAACATCTCTTCTCTCCCCTCCCACGATGCTTGGTCCCCACCTTGGGCTCAAGGGTCCTTCCCATGGCAGCCGGAGGCAGAGAGCTGGGGCCTGGCAAAGCCGCGGCCCTCCCCATCAGCTAGGTGGCCAGGTGAGGGAGAGCCAGAGCTGGCCTGGCCCTCCCTGGTGGCCAGGTGGAGAGCTGGGGTTGCCTACCCGCAGAGAGAAGGTAGGGTTGGTGAGTGTAGTGAGCAGGGGCCACAGTCCCCTAGTTATCTGAAATACTTTATGTAAATATTAGAGGGGTATCTGTGTTAATCTGTATCTGCAAAAACCTTGAAGACTTATTTTTTTCCCCATGAAAGCTTATGCTCAAATACTGACCTAGTGGGTTTTTGCCTATGAAAGATTATGCCCCAAAAAATCCATTAGGAGTTTTGTGGCACCATAAAGGCTCCCTTCTATGGAAAATTGCAATGAAGAGGTGCAAAGACTATATTAATGCCAAGGACTACTTCTGCACTATACAGCAACCATTTTGGATAGAAGATACTAACAGTTGGCATGGTCATAATGCTCTGTTGTAGGACAATAGTGTCTAATATAATCCTATAAGAAACAGGGACACCTATGATAAAGTTTACAGTTTTAACTTCACAGTACAGCTTCAGCACAGTGATATCGTCACTTTACCAAAATGCTAGTAGTTTCTATTTCAAGGCATACCAAAAAACAACAACCCTTGTTAATTAGTATCCAATTTATTATAATTGTTAAAATTCACTGGTGCCAATGCTAAAATCTTTAGCTACTGTTTTTAAGTAGTTTTTATTCAACACTTTAAAAAAAAAAATAAAGCTTGTGGTTCTGACTACTGTAATAAATCATTATCTTATTTCAGCCTCTTCCTTTCTCATGTCGTCCATTGTACTGTGCAAGTATGTTGAATCTGGTGCTGTGCTTTACAGGATTCAGAAAGAAAGACGAACTAGTAAGATTCTTTTGTCATATTTTCCTGTCTCCTCCCCTTTCTTTGACTGAGTAACCTACATGTAACTATGTTTAAGGTATTTTTCTGTCTCACCTAGTGCAGTGTTTCTCAACCCAGTGGTACGAGTATCCTTAGGGGTACTCGAGAGAAGTCTGGGAGGGTACGTCAACAGAACTGAAACTTGGAGAAAGCTGAATTTTTGTTCAAGTTTTACAGCACTTGATTATTTTAGTACTTTTTACACCTAAAAATTTCATTGGCCACCTGGCTAAGATTTAAGTTGTTTAAACAAATGTGTTGCGGTGGTGGTGGTGGGGGAGAATTGTGTGCCTGAAAACTGTAGGTACTGGGGGTACTTATAATATTTTTAAAGGGGTACTTTAAAAAAAGGTTGAGACACACTGACCTAGTGTACAATGTCTAATAGTGATTAAAGTTTGTGTTCTTGAGTACACAACTACAATTCTAGGGTCTACTTAAGACTTTCCTGCTCTTTATATGGAGCAGGACTGGACTCTTAAAAGGATTGTAAATAACCATCAATTAGCTAACTGGTTAAATGATGATGAAAATTACTCCAGTTAACTGTTGGTGGGCCAGAAAATGGAATCCTGCAGTTTCTGCCTGGGCTGTGTTGGAGCACTGCCTGCCAGTCCAGCATGGTCAGAGTCATGCCAGTGTGGCAAGGCAGCACTCAGTCGGGGCTGCTCCAGCCTGGTGCTGTAAACTTTAGGCTTACCGAAAATGCTTACTGCTTAACCTTTTATATCACTAACAGACTGCATTGAGGTGATCACCTAAGAATTACCTTCCACTGGTGTTAGATCATGTGTGTAGGGATGGGGAAGCTTTTTTGGTTGGGGGGAGGGGGGACGAGGGCACAGACTCACAGAAAAATCAGTTGGGGGGCCTCATAAGTGAGAAGCAAAACAAGAAAAATAAACTCACCTATGTGGCCCCTGACTGAGAAGGAGAAAGACACTCCCCATATTCCCCTTACACATCAGAGCCTAGAGGGGCCCAGGCTAGTAGATTGTGTGCTCCAGCCCTGCTGTGGGGCAGTGGGAGGAGGGGTGTTGGAACTCAGGTTCCCCAGTGCTGGGATCGGGGGGGGAGGGGGAGGAGGAGGAGGAGAGAGAGAGACCCTGAGCCTTGGGCCAGGTCCAGGCAAGCTGAGGACTTTAGGTTCCCCACCCCGATGTACACGCTCTTGAGTGCGATCAAGTAAAACTTGGAAATCCTGTTCAGAGCATTTGGATTGTGACTTCATATATGATCTTGTCAGAAATACAAACAGCATCATGTCTGATCAGTAGTCAAATGTGAAACTTTAAAGGAAAACTCAGATATTACAAGAAGCAACTGGTAACTTGCTTGATGTTTTGTAATCCTGTAAATGGCTATTGAGTTGGTTCTGGTGTTATCATAGTGGACTGTACTAGTGGAGATACTGGCAACTGCATAAAACACAAGATCATCTTCCAAGAATAAGGAGTTAACTCTGGCCTGCCAGATTCAAACTGCATGGGCCACGTTAATTTGTTCTAAACTCCTTTTATTTATTTATTTTTTAGCCAGTTCCATCTACAGAAGTAATTGGGGTGTGATATGTTAGGAATCATCTTGTTTGGAGGCTCTATGCTGGCAATGGTTTTCCAACTATGGCTGGTGGGATATCAGGCCCTTGCTCTCATTGCTGCAGGGTGATCAGGTGACGATTGGGGGTGCTAAGGCAGGCTACTTGCCTGTCCTGGCACCACAGACTGAGCTGTGTCCCAGAAGTGGCTGGCAACAGGCCTGGCTGCTAGATGGCAGGAGGGTAGGGAAGAGGAAAAGTGCACATGGCTCTGTGCACTGCCACTGCCCTGAGCACTAGCTCCACACTCCCATAGGCTGGTAACCTGCTGTTGGCTGCTTCTGGGGCAGAGTATGGTCTGTGGTGCCAGGGGAGGCAAGAAGCCTGTCTTCAAATCCTCACTTTACCACTGACCGGCAGCTGCTCAAGCCCATCCTGCCACAGCCCCCCACAAAGCCAGTGCTCCCTCCTAACTCCCAAAGCTCTCGTACTCAGCCCTGCTCTGAAGCTCACACTCTAGTCAAATTATGTTGGGTTGTGGACATCAACTTTCTTCAACTGAGTCATGAGGGGAAAAAAAAGTTTGAAAACCACTGCTCTGTGGGCTGCTAGATAAACTATAACTGTGGTGAAATGTGTCTGAAGAATTATAAACTACTAATTTCAGAGCATGCAGGAGCTTTGCTTTAAAAATTAGTTCCACTGTAACTTGTACTGTATATAACTCTTGTCTGTCCTTTTAATAGCTGAATGTTCCAAAAAGTGATTGGTTCTCTTTGACTCTTGCTCTTCAGGTTAAGATGGTGACATTGGTTCATCATATGGGTGGAATTATTCGAAAGGACTTCAGTTCAAAAGTTACACATCTGGTGGCTAATTCTACACAAGGAGAAAAATTCAGAGTATGTGAACTTTGTACTTCAGGGACTGGATTTGAAAAGTTTCTCAGTGTAGATAGACTGTATGATTTGAAAGTCAGTTTTAACTTGGAGCAGATGCATTTTTTATGTTGAGGAAAATGGGGCTAACTAGAAAGGATTAAAGATTTCAGCGAATCTTTACCTCTGACATCAGGTTTTAAAAACAATGGATGGTAATTGTTTGGCTGTTGGATACAATCCTTGCGGAGGCCATTTAGGGATTTGGGGCAAAAATTCATCAGGGATGGTACTTGGTCCTTCTGAGAAGGCAGGGGACTGGACTCGACTTTTCAAGGTCCCTTCCAGTTCTAGGAGATAGGCAATCTCCATTATTATTATAGTTATCTGGGTATTTTTTTTTAAAATATCTTTGTCTAATGGCTTTTGTGACACCTGAGTTCAGCTTCTGAAAATAAGCATTTTGTTTCTTGTGAAGTATTTAGCATTAGCTTAAACACAGACTACTGTGTTTGAGGCATCTGAGCACTTACCAGTTTATGCCTCCATGGTATGCCTACACTACAATAAAAGACCAGTGGCCAGAGCCCTCCAATCCATAGTATGATTCAGAGAGGCCATCCCAGGCCCTGTGTTTTTTGGGGGGCACCATACCAGCTGTCTCTGCTGTCGTATGGACAGAATGGATCCCCTTAAGGATTATGAGGTCCTGATGCAGGGTAGCAGCAGGGCTCAACCCCTGCCCTGTTGCCTCACACTCACTGCAGCAATGGGAGCTGGAGCAGCCAGAGAGCCTGCTTTGCTGTGCCATGCCACTCTCTCCTAGTTGGCTGCACTCTGCTTCATCATGTAAGATTATTTCTTGTCCTACTACCTGCCTTTATATTAAGGGAGGCTTTGGGTGAATATTAGGGTAAACTGACTAAGTGTAATCATTACCTATGGAAGCTGTGGAATCCCTGTCACTGGAGGTTGCTTAAGAATGTGTTGGACAAACACCGATCAGGGATGGTCTGTTTAGGTGTGCATCTGGACTAAGGATGTTAAGTAACGGTTAATTTACTAGTTGAGTAGTTGATGGAATTTCCATCGGCTAGTCTATAGGCACTTCCATATTCCTCCTTTGAAGCGTACAAGAGCCTCCACTGGGCTTGCCTGGGGCCAGTAGGTAATCCTGCTGACTCGGGGCTTCATGTGGTGTGCCAGCTTTGAAATGTATAAGAGTCCTCAGCGGGGGCTCTTGCGCAGTTCAAAGTGGCAGCACAGCATGGAGCCTGGGGTCAGCAGAGGACTTCCCAGCTGACCATGGGTTCCACACACCATTTCCCTAGAACCCAGAGTTTGCTGGGGACTCCCCAGCTGATCCTGTGTTCTGGGGAAATGCTGTGCTGGAGCCCAAGATCAGCTGGGGAGTCACCAGCTGACCCCCTGGCTCCACATGTGGCAGCGCCGCACAGCTGAGCTGGGGATCAGTTGTGCGGTGCTGCTGCTTTGAAATACCCAGTTCTCCCCCCTTTGCTGCTTCTATCAGATAGAGGTAGCAAGCAGGGAGGGGCGGAATCGACTAGTCAACTGACTATCCTATAAGTATTTGCTTATTGGATAGTTGACTAGTCCTTAACATCCCTAATCTGGACTAGATGACTTCTCAGGGTTTCTCTAGGTAGTCCTACCTTTCTGTAATTCTGCAGAGGAGTAACTTCATCCTTTTTGTGTGTGGCTTTTTTACAATGACTGTTTTGCAAATCAGAAATGTTGCCAGAAATCTCCTTCCAAGTTTGGAAGGAACTTAAATGGAGAGTTTACTTACCATAGCCAACAACTTCCTTCTCCTTCTAGCTTGCTGTGAGTCTGGGAACTCCTATTGTGAAAGCTGAGTGGATTTACAAGGCTTGGGATAGAAGGAATGAACTGTAAGTGTTCTAAAACCACCCTCCCTTCCAATTTAGATCTTTTCTATGATCTAAAAACAAACTTCTCTTTACTAAAGAGGACTGTTTAAATATACAACTGGTTTTAATTGTTTATTTTTAAGTGACTTCTGTGCGGCTGATGAGGAATTCAGAAATGAGTTCAAGGTTCCTCCATTCCAGGACTGTGTATTAAGTTTCCTTGGATTTTCTGATGAAGAGAGAATTAACATGGAAGAAATGACAAAAATGCAAGGTGGTTATTTATCATTTGCAATGGAATTTATACTAAATGCATTTTTAACTTGCTGACTTTTTTTTTTTTTTCTTTCTTGCAAGGAGCTTTGAATTGGTCTTGCACTTGAAAAGCTACATTTAACTTTTTAGATCTCTTTGGGCTTAAATAGGGCCCTACCAAAATCATGGCCATGAAAAACAGGTCATGGATAGTGAAATGTAGTCCCTCCCTCATCGCCTTTGAGGCCGGCATTTCTCAAATAGGAGATCCTGACTGAAAATAGAGTTGTATGTGTGTGGGGGGAATATCGCGGTATTGCCACCCTTATTACTATTAACTCTTCAGAGTTGGGCTGCCGGAGAATGGCGGTTGCTGGCTTAAGGACCTAGCTCTGCAGGTAGTAACACAGAAGTAAGGGTGCTAGTAGTGCATACTGCTAGTAGTGCATATTCTGATAAATTTGTGACACCCACACAACTGCTCTTTGGGCCAGGACCCCTCACTCATAACGCCATGAACTTTCAGATTTAAGTAGCTGAAATGAAATGTATTATCATTTTTTAAAATCCTATAACTGTAAACTTGATTAAAAGGGACTGTAAACTTGGTAGGGCCAGATGCATAAAGCATGAACAAGCAAAAACAAACTTTTCTCCCACACTCTGGATTCAAAATGCTTTACTGTAGTTTTTTTTCCCCTCCCTCTCCCCCATTCCTTTTGTCCTCCCCCATCTAATGGTTAACATTTAATTTTGAAAAGCTGACGGCGTAGTTAGAATTCACTGGTGCATTGTCCAGACAGGTGGTCTGCTCCATCAGTGATAATTATTCAGAAGCTTGTGTGTATGTTCAGTCTTGTGTGTTGTGTTGACTTTGCATAAGTAGTCCAACACAGCCGACTTCGAGAACGCCCCCCCAAAGACCACAAAATCAGATAAAGATCAAAGGCCCCTGGCCAGCTTTGTCAAATGAAATATAGTAATAGTTGTCAGACTCTATTGCACCACTATGCATATGTACTCCTTACAATGGACATGGCTCAGTCAATGAGACACTACCCTCTAAGTTCGACAAACACAGCCCCTTCAAGACGCAGCTTTAAATACAGGTTCAAACAAGTTACATGTCACTCCTGCTGTGTCAGGTTGCTACCCTCTGATGTTACTTAGATATCACCTTGCACCTGGTGGATCTATCAATTTGTGTTTCCACCATGCTATCATTTTAGACCCTTTCCTGAACCAGGACCAGTATCTCTGGGGAGTGTGCGGGTACTAAGGTCCTTTTTAATGAGGAATTGTTTCTATCCTCTAGAACGTGCTTTCAACTTATGCCTGGTACCAATTATTATTTTAGAGTTGGTACCTAGTATCAATTACTGTTCTACACTTGGGCTATTACCAATTAGTGTTTTACATCAACAGCCCTGTTCTTAAGAAGTTCTGTGAGTAGAGGCCCGCTTCTTGCTCGCAGCTTAGCTTTGCTTTATATTAACAAAGTCTTGATCATTGTTTGCTAGGGCTCAACTAGGTCTGTGATACATGGCCTTATACTTCAGGCCCTCATCTTACTACAGCTGGTTAAAAAATATTCAATGTGTATGTTTAAGTACTTCTTACACTAAGTTGTATTCCACAAATATTGTTCAAGTGCTTCTTGAATCATGTAGTAGTGCTCAATTTTTTTTTATAATGTACTTGCAAGAAAATGAATAGCTTATATAGAATTCATGGCCAAATAGTTGTTTCCCTTCAGTAGTGTAATGCACAGTAATGAATATTTTGGCTGACTCAATAGGTTTAAGGTCTATTCTTACAGTGCTCTGTGTGTGTGTGTGTGTGTGTGTGTGTGTTAGGGATGTTAATGACTAATCAACTAGTCGCTCCCCCACCCTTGCTTCCTCTCCCCCTCCACTGCCTCTATCAGATTGAGGCAGCAAGGAAGGAGGCCAGGGGGGTACTTCAAAGTGGCAGCATCACCTGGGGTCAACTGCTCCGTGTGGTGCTGCCGCTTTGAATGCCGTGGGCAGCCTGGCATCTGACTCCTTGCAGCGTTTCAAAGAGGCAGTGCCGTAGGGAGCCCAGAATCAGCTGGGGACTCCAGCAGTGGTGTTTCAAAGCGGCAGGGCTGCACAGAGCCCAGGGTTAGCTGGGGAGTTCCCAACTGACCCTGGGCTTCAGTGCTTTAACCTTTGAAGTGTAGCAACAGCCCATGGGCTGCAATGTGCACAGCTTCCAATTTGAGGTGGTTGTGTTTAAGCAAGCTATTTCTGGCTTGCTCCTAAGTACCAATGTCTTTCTGGGAGTCTTGTTATACTTTCTCAAATATGTTCTCTAAGCTATTTAAAAATAAGTGCTCCTGCCCCCTGAGTTCCAGGAGAGTAAGAGCTCAATCCTCTTTTTAAAGAATTTTCACCATCACAGAAATTGTAACTTGTGTGTCTATAGTCCTCCCCTATATAAGTTCTGCAGATGGGCTTATCAAAGCTGTCCTGTGAAGCTGTATTGCGATAGAATGTCTGCTGGTACTATCTTCATTCCAGAGTGGGGTGTACTGCAGGGAGTGCTGGATACAACTGTCTCAGCTTGCTGACCAACTCCCCCTTATTTGTGTCATCTCCCCAACTTTATTATTCCTTCTCCTTTCATAGTAGTATTGATACTACTATAAAATATATCTTACCGAAACTTTAAATGCCTGGTACTTCAGTTAATTTAATTTTTTGTATTCCAGGTGGGCGGTACATGCCAGTTAGTGATGATAGATGCACACATCTGGTGGTTGAAGAAAATACAGTGAAAGCTCTCCCATTTGAGCCTCCAAAGAAACTTTATGTTGTAAAGCAAGAGGTTAGTGTATACAGAAGCTCTTAATACTAGAGCAGGGGTGGGTGATAACTTTTGGTAAAGGGACACTTCAGGAACTTGGTAAGTCGTCAAGGGCCTCACTCTTCTATGATATTAATGGAGAGGATGTGGGATCTGGGGCAAAGGTTGAGAGCAGAAAGTAGATCAGGCTATGTGATTGAGGTACATATTTTGCCCACCCCTGTCTGTGTGTTCTTTTTAAAATTATTTAATAGATGAGCAATAATTATATAGTTACACTTGGAAGATTTTATTTTTTTTCAGACATGTAAATGATATTCAATATCGCAGGTCAAAAGATTGTATCAAGTTCTGAAACAAGTTATAGAAGACTCTCTTTTCTCCATATAGTGGTTCTGGGGAAGCATTCAGATGGATGCCAAAGCTGGAGAATCCATGTACTTATTTGAAAAGGTATGCTAACCTTTAGTAGCACTGTAAAATGTTGACTCTAAAAGCCTGCATTTGCAAATACTTATCTTGACTACTGTGAATTGTCCATTGAATCTGATTACTTACACTTGTGCTTAACTTTAATACTGTAAATATTTGTAGGATTAGGGATTAATTTGGATGCTGATAACTCATGACAAAGGTATATTTCTAAAATTCCTGAATTGTGAGTGCTTCAAGACACTAAAGGTTAAACATATGATATACTTGGCCTTTGCTTGCTTAGTGATCGCTTCATGGTGGTCTTGCAGTTATGCAATGCAGAATTTTTAAACCTGGAAAAACAAATTCATATTAGCCTTTTTAAAAAAAAATCCTGCTCTTAATAAGCTAAGGGATATGGGTTATTATCCTGCTTGCTGTGTAAGTATTGTAAAACTTTCAACTATTCTGTTTGACCGTTTACTGAAATGGGTAGCAACTGTCCTGTGTAGTCTATATGTAATCTTTTCTTTAATCCTGTACAGAATCAAGCTGAAGACCATGATTAAAAGTACTAACTAAATTTTAATATCTAATTACAGCCTGAGAGTCCTGAACTCAAAAAGTCTGTGTCCCAACTTTCTCTGAGTACTCCAAATAGTAATCGCAAGAGACGACGCTTGAGAGAGACCCTTGCACAGCTTGCCAGAGAAACTGACATGTCACCATTCCCTCCTCGGAAACGGCCCTCAGCGGAGCATTCCCTTTCTATGGGGTCTTTATTGGATATTTCTAACACACCAGAGTCCAGCATTGCCACTGGAGGTATAGTAGAAAAAAGATGTTTAAGCTTAGCAGTGTTCTTACTGTGCAAATTACAGAAGTAGAAAAAATGATTAGCTATACTATAGTTTTGACAAGTAACTACAGGCTTTCTCCCTTTCAGATTATGCAGGGAGCAGAATAGGAGCAAGAAGCTCAGACACAGGTAGAGGTCAGGCCAGCTGTCGTCATGTCAGTAGATGTAGTCATACATGGAGGAAAATGAGGAAAAAATACACCTTTACCAAATTTACATTTGAATATAATGCTACTCCAAAGCAGTGTGTGAATCCTCTTGAAAGTCTCCAGCAAACAAACAAGGTAGCTAGTTGCAGGTCATCTGGAAACCTAGGCAATAGCATACTTGGGAAAGAGACAGTATCAAAGCTCCAGAAAAAGATTCTTTTTCCAAAGGAAAGCGAGGAGATCACTGTAAGGCCTACTTATCTTGGAGTCTTGAACGATACTCTTGCATCATGTGAACATCCGGTAGGGACAAATAACATATCAAAAATGTCACAAGACTATGAAGAATCAACTTTCTTAACTTACGTTGACCAATTAACTAACAAAAAAACTAAAATCTCTGTGTATGGTTCTTGTGGAAGAGAGAAAATTGCAAAATTCACAAATCCAGTCCTAGAACATGGATATCAATTCCAACTTACAAGAGAGATATCTGGAAATACTACAGATGTAAATATTAATGACCTGACTTGTATGAATGCCTGTGACTATGTCCAGCAAGTGACCTGTGGGCATAGTCATGAGGAAAAGGACAGCAAGGACCAGTGTAGCTTTATAGATGAAACATCTTTGATAGCGGAGAGTAACATTTTAGTAGGAGACTCTGAACTTCCTTCTGATTCAAAATCAAAAGCCAGTTACAGTTATACCAGTGTTGCACCAGTGACAGGTAAGAGTACTTACTGCAGGCACAGTAATACTTAAGTTGATTGGTACAAATTCAGAAAAATTATAACTGTTTAAAGGGGGACGTTTAAGCCTCCTTAGTAATTGTACATCATCTAGTTGGGGTGTGACCATGTCAGCCTTCAAAATTTACAGAATACTCCAGTCTCTGAATCGGTATTCAGAACACCATTAGCTGCGCAATTATTTCCCCAGGATTCTCTCCTCTAGAATAGGTATTTCCAAGCTTTTCATAATGTGGATTGTATACGCTATTTGCCTGTTCATTGATAGTTGTAAGCATTTGTCATGAGGTAAACATGGAAAAGTAATAATAAAAAATATTTGCTTTCTTGGTGGTTTTTTTTTTTAATTTGCCATTCAGCAGCTAAAAATAGGGAGAAACCTTCATATGAACAGGCAGTTCTCTGAACCACTAAATACTTTTGAGAACTACTCCTAAGGAATATAAAATTGGAAGCTTTAAAACTGATCACAATATTTCTCCCTAGCTTTATGGATAATATCAATAGTGTAATGTTGCTGTATTATGGCATGTGATGTCAAAGAGCAATTTGTGTTTAGACATGGCCCAGCTCCACAGACACCTTACTGTGACAGAGCTGTACTTCTGCAGCTATACCACTGTAAGGTCTCCTGCTGGTATAATTAAAGCAACCCTAACTAGCATC